ATATTCATTTAATTTAATCAGTAGCTAAAATAGATCACCAAATCAGTTATAAAAATCACTTAATGAAATCATCTTTAACTATACTCAACTGTTGACACAGCTGTAAACATCTGCCAGTACCTACTGTAATGACACAGGGGACATAGTCATCTTTTGACACACAAAATAGGCAGATCTCTGCACACAGACACACTTATAGATGGAGTGGTCAGTTAACAGTATTTATTTTATTAATGAACAAAACAAGAAAAATAAACCTAGGTCTAATTTAAGCTCCTAAATGACTTCAAAGTTTCCTCATTAAATACCAGGGGCAGATCTTCTCCCAATTGTAAATTTATATTTCCTCTTCTAATGAAAACACCATTTAAATAAAAAAAAAACAAGAAGGGCTTACCTAACACTTGCTCCATTCATTTTCTAGTAGTTCAGGTATTCTATTCAGTTTCCTTCTCTGGTCATAAGTCTTTCTGTATTTTTATTTCTTTCTTCAGTCTCAGGTCTTCTATAGCTCTTTTTCTATCTTCAGTCTCAGACACACAACGGCATGTACATGTACCTCAGGAAGCCAATGAAGAGAGCTAAGTATGGGGGTTGTATGGTCGTACTTTCTGCTCCTAGTACCAACTCTAGCTGCTGCAATCTGAATTCGCTGTAAGGTGTTGAAAGAGTGGTGGGTGCTCCCTGATAATAGACAATTGCAGTAGCCTAATCAGCTGTATACAAGAGCATGTATACATTTCTCTGTGTCTTGAGTGGAGAGAAACTGCTGTAGTTTTGCAATTTTTCTTAACTGTAGGAAGCATGTTTTAGATACTGTTTTAACATGAGAGTTAAATGAGAGCCTTGTGTCTAATATGACGCCTAGGTTACGTGCTGAGTCTTTGAGGCAATTTTTTAAATCCTCTGAGTTAAGTGCTGAATTTATAGTAGTCCTATCAGTATTGTTTCCTCCAAACAACAGAACCTCAGTTTTATCAGAGTTAAGTAACAAAATGTTTTCACACATCCAAGTCTTTACTTCATTAATGCAATTAACTAAAGTGATAATAGAAGAGTTTTTGTTGGGAGTAAACGAAATGTATATTTGCCATGTATATATCACCCTGTAACTCACAACTGGCTACCCACTGCAGCTAAGCAGGTGTAAGCCTGGTCAGTACCTGGATGGGAGACCTCCTGGGAAATAAGGTTGCTACCTGGAAGAGGTGTAAGTGGGTCCAGCTGGGGGTGCTCACTCTGTGGCCCATGTGGGTCCTAATGCCCCAGTACAGTGATGGGGACACTGTACTGTAAACAGGCGCCGTCCTTCGGATGAGATGTAAAACCGAGGTCCTGACTCTCCGTGGTCATTAAAAATCCCAGGACGTTTCTCGAAAAGAGTAAGGGTGTAACCCCAGTGTCCTGGCCACATTTTCCATTGGCCCTTACCAATCATGGCCTCCTAATAATCCCCATCTATGAATTTGCTTTATTACTCTGCTCTCCTCCCCACTGATAGCTGATGTGAGGCGAGTGTTCTGATGCTCTATGGCTGCCGTCGCATCCTCCAGGTGGATGCTGCACATTGGTGGTGGTGGAGGGGAGTCCCCATTACCTATAATGCGCTTTGAGTGGAGTGTCCAGAAAAGCGCTATATAAGTGTAAGCAATTATTTATTATTATTATTATTATTATTATTATTATTATGTTTTCGTATTATCCTACCTAGTGGCAGCATGTACAGAGATTCCCAGCACTGGGTCCCAGCACTGATCCCTGTGGTACCCCAAATTGAACTGGTGACATTGATGAAGCAGTACAATTATTAGATATTTGAACATAATGAAAACGATTACTTAAATATGAAGCAAACCACTTAAGGATGGTTACAGATAAGCCAACCTCAAACTCAAGCCTGTGTAACAAAACAGAGTGGTCAACCGTGTCAAAGGCAGCACTAAGATCTAGAAGCACAAGCACTGTTGCATTCCCCTCATCAGTAGCTAACAGAATATAATTTACGACTCTTGTTAATGCAGTTTCAGTGCTGTGGCCTGGACAAAAACCTGACTGAAATTTCTCAAGTATATTATTTGAATCCAGATACGATTGCAGCTGGGCCACAACTATTCTCTCAAGAATTTTAGATAGAAATGGGACGTTTGAAACAAGCCTGTAGTTGTCAAGAACCTGTGGATCCAAATTTGACTTCTTAAGGAGCAGTCTATCAACCGCTACCTTAAATTGGTCAGGTACAACGCCTGATGCAAGGGACATGTTCATTATACTAATTATACTGTAGGTCCTGCCAGTACTTCAAGGGAATCTTTGACTAGCTGAGTCGGGATGGGATCTAGAAGACAGGTGGTTGACTTTGTCTTAATAATTAATTTCTTGAGTAATTGTTCATTAACTAATTGAAAAACACAAAACAGGTGCTCATATTGTGTCTCTACCAGATTTCTTTGCGGCTTATTTGATTGTGTTTGAAGTCTGATGGTGTTAATTTTATAGTTAATAGTTATTTTATAGTTAAATTAGTTCATGAAATCGTCACTACTAAAGTTAGTTGGTGCTATAGAATCTGTCTTATTTGTTAGATTAGCTATTATCTTAAATAGGTAGCAAGAGTTACTTCTATTGCTATCTTTAAGTTCAGGGTAGCAAGTTGAATGACCTCTATATACTGTAGGGCTTTCTTATATTGTTGCAAGCTATCAGTCCATGCTGACTTGAATACTTGCAAACCAGTAGACCTCCGTTTGTGGCACTCCTGTTTAAGGGATCGTGTGTGATCATTATACCATGGAAAGTGTCTAGTGGTTTTGACTACTTTAATGTGGCAGTTTCATCAAGGGCCTGTCTGACAACTGTATTATAAGTTGGTCATCTTTAATTAACATTCTTTAAATATTGTCAATACTTTATTTTAAATGTATTTAAAAGTACGATATGTTCTGTCTATAAACAAAACAAGTGCAAGCTTGATACAAAACGATTTAGGACTAGACTTTTAGAACTTCAGTGATCCCATAATACTATATCCAACAAGAACAGTAGACAATATGTTTTTAAGTTGTCTGAGAAATCTTGTTTAGAACAGGGATCCCAGTGAAAACTAAAAATAACATGTCCTATTAAAAGACAGCTGTCACAATAGCAGTAATGATGTGTGTACAATATCTGCACTTATTATTACAACAGTAATGATGCTATTTGTTAACATTTGTACACAGATACAGGTACTGTATGTTACATTTGTGAACATTTTTCTAATGTGTGTGACATTCATAATGAACTGACATTCTTTTTGATTGTGTAGTATTTTATGAGTTTGAAAAATTTTACACAATGCTTGCCATTGGGAGCATCAAATGTGTTTGTGCTGAGGTGGAGAGTGGAAATATATTTTTTTTCTGTCACAACTTCAAATCTATACTTTCTTCCCGCTGTATTACAATCCATAAGATTATTTTTCTAGTAATTTATTTTGGATGGATAATCTAAACTGCATGTAAGCATTTCCCATTCAGCTTGGAGAGAGGCTCCAAACCCACACATCTGATAGGCAGATAAAATGGAATGTTCAGCTTCCATCTCCCTTTTAAGGACCAGATGGAAACCAAAGTCAGGAGCCTGGTAGTATCACTCAAATGCTTGAACTACACTTACAGTATACTAATCCATGTAAAATCACTTTTTTTGTATTTTTGCTTGAACAATAATATGTCCATATCATTGTTACACTGTGCATAAATATCTGAAAGCCTCATTCAACAGAAACAATATTTGTGCACTGTGATGAGTTTTATTATTTGTAGATTTTTCTTTATTTTTATTTATTTTATTAATTAATAATTAATTAATTGACATTAGTTAATTTCTTAACTGAATCATTGGTACCTGTTTCCTAAAATAAAATAATTTTGCTCATTATCTTTATTGAAAGAAAAAGATACAGCACAGGTTCAAATCAAAGGCTCTATCGAAGCTTTTTTTTAAAGTTTTTTCACTTTTATATAACAGTAACAATTTTGTAACATAGTGAGTTGAACTGTGTGACATGCTAGACCTAGCACATTTTTACATCATTTTTAATGCAGTTATTCAGTAGGACTTCCTAGTTTGTCAAAATTTTAATTACTACATCCTGTCATCTGTTATCAGTGTATCAACATAACTGACTTGCACATTCTATTATAAAGTAATAATATGTTGTCAGCGTATGGCTTGCTAAATTCAAATCTGTCACGATTATAGTCCCCCCTCCTTAAGGGTGCTCCAGCCCTTCACTTTAGACTTAATTCTGTGCACCTGATCCCTTTTCCCAGCCCACCTTAAAAGCCAGGCGCTGATGCTCATCCTGGCTCTGCATCTGGTTTCCGCACCGTGCGACTCCGGGACCTGGAAGCGCCTGGTCCCGTTAAGGTTTTATCCTCTATTCCTGTTCCTTGTCCTCCGGTTCTGACCCGGTTCGTGTTTTTAATTCCTTGTTTGGATTGATCACCTGGCTATGGACTTATTCTTGTGTTTTTGGATTCCCTCAATGGATTACTTTTGGATTGTTTGCCTCGGCCACACCTCCCATGTGCACCAGCGCACTTTGGACACGCCCCCCTGTTTTCAGCCCCGTATTCCTGCATGACGTTTTCCTAGTGTTTCCCCACTTCTTCAGATTGTGTCGTCCACATAGGGTCCGGAAAGAACTGTTTGTTACAAAATCTTTATCTGCCAGCAGGTATGCATTGTCTAATTAGATGATGTATGGTGGCAAGTCATGTATAAACATTTGAAATGTTTTAGCTGGTGAATCTTTTTGGAATACCTGTTTTTGGAATTAGGCATTTAAGAAGCCAGAGGCCAAAAAGTAGAAAAAGTATGCATTACAGTAAATAAGCTTAATGTTACTGAGAGTAAAAGGACTAACAATGATTTCAGAGTACAAATTCTATATAGTTCTGCTTAATCTTTGCATCCATTATTTACTTTCTCTTCTTTTGTATTTATGTGCTTTACAGATGCATACACAATCACAGAAGTAACATATATTTGGACTCGAAATGCATCAGAATCAGTGGTGGTTGCAGAAGATGGTTCCCGATTAAACCAATATGATTTGCTTGGTCAAACTGTTGGAAAAGAGACTATTAAATCTAGTACAGGTAAGTAAAGCTATCAAATGGTTATGGATACAAAGTGATTCTGGTTGGTGAGTACATTGAAAAATATTTTGTACGTAGGTATATATTTTGATTATGCATTTGTTATTTCAAGGGCTATTTAGTATTCTTTTACCAAAGCTGTATTCACATAAAGTACTACAGTATGTACTCCACAGTTAGATCTGAAAACACAGTTATGAACATTTGTATGAGTTTTAATGGAACTCTATGGACTGTATGTGGAGAAAATAAGGCCAAATTGCAATGTGGTCCTACCTATTGAAAAGTCTTCTTCCACTTTCCTGTGATTTTTTTAAATCCACATAAATGAATACATTGTATAAAGTGGAGAACAAAATAGCAAAAATGCTTTTGTACTTTTGTCTGAGTTATTTTCACTTGGAGCCTATTGAGATATTGATATTGATTGAGATATGCAATTACATATTGCTTTGAAAATCAAAATCACTTACAATATCATGGTTACAAAAATCTGTATGAACTATAAAATGAATTGCTCATACTTATATTTTCCATATTTCTATATTTTCAAATGTAATTTCAAACTATAATCAAAATATTCTAGTAAGTAAATTAGTATTTTTTTGATTCAAGAAATTTAATTTTTGTGGAGGTGAATTTGTCAAAATCAAAAGAAAAAATGTAAATACATAAAAGAACAATATCATTTAAAGTGCATGGTAATTATATATATTTATATGGTTGTATAGTGAAAATACGTTTTGATATACTGTAATTATGTTAAAATTACACAATACCAATATATGCAACTAATAACATTTGACAAATGCTTTTATCCAAAGAGGCTTACATTTGCATCCATTTGTAGAACAGAGCATTTTATTGGAGCAAATCAAGTATAGTACCTTGCTCAAGGATATCACAGTGGTATTTTCACATGGAATTTATAATAATAATAATAATAATAATAATAATAATTATTATTATTATTATAATTTTTAATAATAATAATTGCTTACACTTATATAGCACTTTTCTGGACACTCCATTCAAAGCTCTTTACAGGTAATGGGGACTCCCCTCCACCACCAATGTGCAACATCCACCGGGATGATGCGACAGCAGCCATACTGCACCAGAACGCTTGCACACATCAGCTATCAGTGGGGAGGAGAACAGAGTAATGAATCCAATTCATAGATGGGGATTATTAGGATGCCATGATTGGTAAGGGCCAATGGGAAATTTGGCCAGGACGCTGTGGTTACACCTCTACTCTTTTGGAGAAGTGCCCTGGAATTTTTAATGACCACAGCGGGTCAGGACCTCAGTTTTATGGGGCCTACCTGTTTACAGTATAGTGTCCCCGTCACCATACTGGGACATTAGGACCCATATGGACCGCAGGGAGAGCGCCCCCTGCTGGCCCCACTAACACCTCTTCCAGCAGCAACCTTAGTTTTTCCCAGGAGAGCTCCATCCAGGTACTGACCAGGCTCACACCTGCTTAGCTTAAGTGGGTTGCCAGTTGTGAGTTACAGAGTAATATGCTGTCATTAATTTGAACTCACAGTCTCCCAGTGACAATGTCAGTATAGGCATGAATTGTTCAAAGGTGTTATTAAAATGCCAGACACACTAGAATGCATAATGAATGGGCATTGTCTATACTAATGTTTTCACAAATATTGATATGAATAATAAGCATAATTCTGTAATTAGAATTACAGGCCTCTTTGTAATTCAGCAAATCAGCCCTTTTTCCCACTTTTTGGGTGCATTTGATAAGGTTCATTGTTCTACAATAATGTAGTATGTAGTAACTTGTTTCCTTTCAATTGCATGCTAATTTACAGTTATGCAATTATCTAATATTTTCTTGATTCCAGAGCACACATATTTTTAAAAACGTTAATTAATGTTTAAAAGACACAGTATAATAATATAATTATATTGTTATTAATTTTTTTAGATATGCAATTCCATATTATATTCTGTATTCTAAATTCTAAAAAGTATGCATTTTTTTACTGCGATAATGAGTGTAAATATTCACAGGACATGTTAGAACATTATGACTTTTTACGAAGTATTTAAACTTAATATAGTCAGAAGGAACACTTAAAGTAACCATAGTATGTAACCGAATGAAAGACTTTGATGCTTAAAATGTTTAGGAAGAAAGTGGAATACTGGTGTGTATTTTTATTTAAACTACCAATACCAGCCATATACAGTTTACATAATATGTTTATGTTCCTAAATTAATATATGACCTTCAGACGTGTTGTGCTCCTCTCTTTTTATGCTCAGCTACTAAAATTTCCCTTTAGTTGTAAAATTAAATATAAATATTCAATACTAAGCGGATTAAAACATGCACAGTAAAGAGATTAAATTATTAAATAATTTCACTAACGACTAATGCACCATGAGTGCCCCATCAGCCATTTTGGCCAGCCAAATCACGTACTGCGGTACAATGCAGTGAACTATGGGTAATTTTGGGCGGTACAGGATTGTACCTTGCATTTTGAATTGCTGCATCTGTATCTACCTCAAAACATGTAGGCATTCTAGGATTATGCTGAACTCTTTATTTAACAGCATGGCTTCCAATGAACAGCTAACTGAAAGCTATGAAAACTACTCCCCTCAGAACTTAACCCCCCCTAGCTAATTTTCAGTTCCACAGTACACCACACCCCTTGTCCCTAGTCCACATAATTCTTCATCCGCAGAAAGGCCTGATGCTGATGTCTTGGATGGGGGCCTCTAGGCCTTTCAACCACAGGCACCGTTTAGGTGTGTATTGCCGGTGAAACAGGGACAGGAACACAGTGTGTGTCAAAGTGGACAGGGCGGTCCATCCTGAATCCTCAAGACTGGACAAATCTGACCCCTCATGCACAACTGAAACTGTGGTCAGGTAACCTCCAGGCCTCCCGCCACCAGAGACTGCGAGCTGTCAGGCTCAACCGGCGACCATCCCTGCATTTGATCCACATGGCGGCAATGAATGTGACCATCAGCCATCACTGCTAATTTGACAGTGGTCCTGTTGCCTCTACAACTGTAGGGGGTACCCACTTTGAGCCCCCACCTTAAATACAGATATGTACCCTATCCTGTACATGGTTGGAATCTGCAAGCTATACCCCCACTCTAATCTGTACCATTCTCTCTGCCCGCCCATTTGGCACAGAGTGGTTAGGAGCAACTGTAACATAATGTATTGCATTGCGACATATACATTTCTTAAATTCCTCTGATGTGAAAGACCGACATAATTGTTTCTGGTACCCCATGTTTTGCGAATAATCTATGTAGTGCCTTCGTCACAGCCTTTGAAGAGATGGATAATGTTATAATGACTCCTAGCCACTTTGAGTAGGCATCCACTATGACCAATAGCATCTTGCCCATCACTGGTCCTTCAAAGTCCAGGTGTACTCCCAGGGATGCAGAGGTGCCTTTGGTGGTGCATGGTGTGTTTGCTGACATTTTGCACACCCCCTTTCCCGCTCTACTTGAATGTCCAGACCAGGCCACCACACATAACTTCTTTCAAGAGCTTTCATGTGCACTAACCCTGGATGTGCTCCATGTAGCAACCTAAGAACTCCATCTCTTGCCAACCCAAGAACTATCATATGGCAACTCTTGTGAACATTGAGTTCCCTCTGCCTCTGGAAAAACACTGTGAATCAGCAGTCACTAACTGCAGCTGGACATCCATGCAGAGCTCAGTGGAGAACACGTGACAAGACTGGATCTTTTGCTGTCATGTCAGCAATTTGTCTTGCCTACAGTGGTCCATCCGGCACCATTTCCCACAAAAGAACCTCTGATGACTCATTTATCAAGGGAAGATGACTCAAAGCATCAGCATTAGTCAGATGTCTGCCACACCTGTACCTCAGCTTGTATTCATATGCTCCTAGCATCAGACTCCATCACAGCATTTGAGGAGACGATATTAGGGCATCAGTTTTGCATAAATTAAAGAACCCAACAATGGCTCGTGGTCTGTATAGATGACAAAATGCTGTCCCTGCAGGTACTGTATTTTTTTTAACTGCAAGGATGATCACTAGTGAGAGCTAAAGAACTGTATTGTTTATGCAAAAGAAAAAAATAACAAAACATATTAAATAGCTAATTTCTTGTAGAACATTTAAAATTAGTGATGTAGCAAGGATAATATGCAAAATATCTCTGTTCATTATGTAAATTAGTAGTAGATTTACATTACTGCAGTAGTAATGTAAATCTAACCCTTTATTTGACCAGATAATATAATTGAAAACAAATGCTGATGGCAACTTGACCAAGAGCACTGTAAACATTTTTCAAAGAAGACAAAACAGTGAAAAAAAATATCAATAATAAATAACGTATCAGGCTATGTTAATGTTAACAAAAGCATGTGCAAGGCTAAAAACAATCTAGTCACAGAACTGAAACCACTCTCAGATTCAAAGACTTATAGTTTCAGTTTACTCAGCAGCTACAGTCATTAGCAGCAACAGTTTGAATGTTGTCTTGTACACAGCTGCTATGTTGTTGAAAAAATCAGTTTCATTAAAGTACATAATTTTTCATTTTAAAATATTACAGAAAATGAATAAATGAGTATGATAGGAAGTTGTTTTCCCACTTAAAGATCATGAATCAGTTTATAAAAAAGCTGTCTAGTTTTCAGCAGTGGTTTTGAGTAGTTTTGTTTCATTCTATTAACATCATCAGCATAGTCCAATAAGGACAGTATGTACATTTAGAATGGTGCATGTAATGCTACGGAACCTCAGCATCTGGGCGAATAGCAAGCCAAAACACAGGCACTCAGAAATGCTTCGGAACTTGTGGGAAAGAGGTTTACCTAGGTTTTAGATGGGGGCTAGATGTGGAGAATGCAGGCTTTAGTAGTGAAGATATCTGATACGTTAGGCTCCCTACATGGAAGCCTGTTGGGCAAACCTACAGAGAGATTGGTGAGCTATAAAGCGAGGAAGACA